GGAGTAATTCAGCTACCTACCCCCTGTGCCCCCACACCTCCCATTTCTGTGGATGAAAGAGCAGTTTTTCATAAAATCTGTCTTCCTTTCAACATTGAGTCTACATTTGTCCCTTTTTAATGCATCTCTTTGGGGTACGGTTGCCCTCCCTGAGCCACCATCCTCCAGTTCCTCCTGCTCACTCCCAGGTGCCTGACGTTCCTTTAATATGGAACAAAGGCTTTCATTTCTTAGAGGGTGATGAGGCTTAAAATGCAAACACCCCTCAGAGAGGTAGCACATTGATTTAAATTCACACCATGTAACTTAGGGATAAATGAGTGATCAGGTGTTTTCTTTTTTTTCCCTGAGAGCACCGTTTGATGAAGGGAAGGCAGAGGAGAGAATAAGGACACTAGAAAAAGCCGTGTTGGAGGAAGGGCCTTCTAGAGAGGGAAAGTACACGGGGAGGACTGCATTGTGTGCTGGGCACCCTCCCTGCCTCACCCTGCCCAGTGGGCACCAGGCACCATGTGCAGGGGTGAGGTGTGACCTTTTTAGAAGGCAGATCTGGCTTGAAACCCAGTAATGTAGCTCTAGAAAGCCCTCTAACTTCATTTCCTCACCTGTAAAATATGGGTAATAAAACCGAACACACAGGACTATTTGGGGGATGTTTTAAAATTGTGACATAAAAAATTCATCATCTTAACCCTTTTTAAGTGTACATGGCATCGAGTAGAGTGACATCTCATGCCGCCCTCCCCACTATTCATCTCCAGGACTCCTTTCATCTTGCAAAACTGATGCTATACACATTAGACAGTAACTCCCCATTTTCCCTCTGCCTAGCCCCTGGCAACCGCCATTCTAGTTTTCTCTATATTAATTTGACTCCTCTAGGTACCGCGTGGAAGTAGAATTAAAGTGTATTAAAGCATATTCATCCTTTTGTGACTGGCTTTTTTCATGTAGTGTAATGTGCTCTGGGTCAGCCATGTTGGAGCATGTGAGCCAGATTTCAGTCCTTTAGAAGGCTGCAGAACAGTGCTTGGTAAGCACGTACCACAAAGTGTTCATCTGTTGATGAACATGGGTGCTTCCATGCTGGGCTGTGTGAATAAGTTGCTACTATAAACCTTGTGTTCAGATAACTCATCAAGACTATTTTAAATTCGGGGGTTAACATACCCAGAGTTAGGACTGCTGGACCGTATGGTAATTCTGTTCTTAGTTTTGGGGGAATGACCAGACTGTTTTCCAGAGTGGCTTTACCACTTTACATTCCCACTGATACCAATAGTATTCAAAGATTCCAGTCACCAACAACTATTGTTGTTGCCTTATAGTTATCATCCTCATTTTTATATGTAACCTAAATAAAGCTGCCCATGGGCATATTCAGAAGCCAAACATTTAAGTGTATCCAAACAGAGAAAACTTAGAGAATAATGAAGGCTTATTCATCATGGGTTTTCTTGCGTGGACCCAGGGGCCTATACAATGGGTTACAGGAAACATACCAAGTTTCTCCCCACCCTCCTGCTCTCGTGTGGCCTCAAGACTCTCCTCCACCTCCTCTGCTCAGCTCCATGCTCCCTCTCAATGTCTCTTTCCAAGTATCTGACTTGCCTTGCCCTGTCCAACCTCCACAGGAAGCAGTGTCCGCTCTGCCTTTCTTCATGAGAGCAGTTATCTGGAACTCTGTTGAACACATTTCTCCCTTTTATTCTACAGATAATGAAAAGCATGTGACACGTAGTAGTAATCAGTAAATAGTAGCTAATTTTATAGAATCTGTCTCATAGAGTTATTGTGAAGAGCATAAATGGAAGCAAAGTTCTTAGAACACTATTGGCATTTAACAACCACTATGTAAAATATAGCTATTATTGGGCCCTCTGTGGTAAACAAGGGGTTAAAACACAGCACTATGAAGCTCTCCACAGCCACGGCAGCATGAGTTTGATCCCCAGCCAGGGAGGTGACCCACATGACGCGTAGGCCTCTCTTATCTCACCCACTGCTCCCCTCACCAGTGTATTTTATAGATGTGCCTATTCTCCCCACTCTGTCTCTGATGAATCCTTTCACCTCCTGCACTTCTGGCCTACACCCCAGTTCTGTATGCATAAATAAATAAAACAAATCTTTTTTAAAAGACTATTATTGTGGTGGTAGTAATGAGGAGTCCAACATGGTTAGACTTTATCATTTTTTTAACAAGAAGTAGCTGTCTAGTTGACCTCAAGGAGACTCACCTTGGAGCAGATAATCTTTAGCTTTCCCCAGAATTGTAAAGTGTTCCCCTTGATACAAATGTAATATGAATAGGAACCCATTGCCCTGGGAAAGGGTATATGACCAGGACCTTTCTGAATTTGACAATATCTGCTTTTCCCAATATACCATTAGTAAGGGAAGGAGGTGAATAAATTTTTTCTGGTCTCAAGGAAACTCTTGAAAAGAAAAAGACTGAAAGCTAATCCTTTTCCTCATGAGAGACTATGTTATCAGGACCTCCTAGCTAGATTCATTAGGTCCTGACTGAATCTGCTACCAGAACAGGAAACAGCTGTTCACTGGAAACCAGTGCACTGTGGTGGCAGGGTCCAGGGACTTGCTGGGGTGGGAAGAGGAGGGCAGTGATGGTTCCTAACATCTGCCTGGCTGTGGTAGCCCTGCTAGGCTAGCAGCCACCAAAACGATGGAGAGCAGCAACTGGCAGGCTATGCTGCTTGGTCTGGAGCTCTCTGCAGTTCCACATTTTTTGCTTCTGAAAGAGAACAAGTTAAAAATCTCTCAGTTTGCAAGCACATGAATGGACTAGAACAGTCGTGAGCCACAGGTTGTGGGTCTGTGTAACCCAGGAGGCAAGACCAGACACTGAGTGTCTAGAAGTTTCTTCTCTTCCTGTTTCTGTCTCAGCAATGACCTGGCAACTGAACTAGGGACTCTTTGAACAAAGGCCATTCTCAGGGAAGTATGTGACTGGAGTGTTCTCCCTGTTCACTAGAAATCATAGCATTTAAAAGTGGGGAATCAAGGCGTGTCCAAGGAATTAACCTTTTCCTTTTTCTCTTCTCCTTTCTTGTCATAGATTATCTCTGTGGTATAGAGAGTTTCTGAGCATTAGACCCAAGTTGGTTTTTTTTTTTGTTTTTTTTTTTACAGAGGTGGTGAGAGCTGACCTTTATCTAATTATGCCTTTCTCAAGAGCATTCTGTAGAATCTGGCAAGTAGAAATCCGCCCCTTCGGGACTGTAAGCTGGAGAAAGAGGGCTAATGTACATCTTGACTGCTTTGCTATTATTTATGCAGAAATCATCACCATAAAAGCTTAACACGAGGTTAACTGGAACTGGAACAGTCTCAGGATACACCTTTTATTGCTACACTTCTCTCCTACTCCCCTCCACCCCACGCATATCAAGAATTGTACAAAGAAAATAAGTTGCCTGTATCCCACCAAGCAAGTAGGAAAGACAAACTATAAGAGGGCCAAGGAGATCATTCTGGAATCCTGCACAGACTAGCTGTGTGGCCTTGATGAAGTTACTACATGTCTCTGAGCCTTGGATTCCTCAAAAGTAAAGCAGAATGATGGTAAATGCATCTCACAGGGTGGTCTGCAGGATTAAATGTGCTAACGGATAGTGTGTATGGTAGGTTCTCATAAAGAGTGCCTCTCCTGTGATGGCAACTATAGGGTGTATGTTTCAGCCTGAAAATACTAGCGGGGACTCCTGGGGGCTGGAGTTGGGGATTTCCCAGATTCCCCAACTCTGCATCTATATTTCACTGTAACTGCCCCAGGGGTGTTTAGACAGAAAGCACTTGGGTTTAGGGTGCTTCTCCTCACAGCCCACATCTCCCAGCCCAGCCTTTAGAATGTTACTGGCTGTTGCTTCGGTGCCATCTCAGCAGCCCAACCTGTGAGCACCTCCAGCGGCCACCATGAGTCGGGCTGTGGTGCCTGTTGACCGGTATACCACCCACAATAGGTCCTCGCTGACATGACAGCGCCATCTGGCATGAGCAACCCTTGTTTGGACCACTGGCCACTATCTGGGATGGGGCAGCTGACCACTTGTGTTCTTAGAAACTCTATTTTTCCCAATGTCCTGTTTGTTTACTAAGCCCCTTTGCAAGAGCCTGATTGTGTCTTGCTGCTGAGCACAGTGACTTGTCCTCATGTTGGCACTATCTTTGATGTTATGTTTGGCACTCTTAGCTGTCTTCTGCCATCACACTTTGCTGCCCCCATCACCCTGCCCCTAGCATCTCTTTCATACAATAAATTCTAAACAAGCTGAATAAACAAGGTGAAGGAGTGAAATAAACATGAAGTCATGAAAATGCAGCCAGAGGACAATGTGTGTGTGTTTCGTTTTAAAGTCACCATTTTCTCATGGCTGTTGATTTGGGGGTGGGGGGGAAGAGAGAGAGAGAGAGAGAGAGAGTGTGTGTGTGTGTATGTGTGTGTGAGAGAGAGAGAGAGAGAGAGAGAGAGTATGTGTGTGTGTGAGAAAGAGAGAGAGAGAGGTGTGGGGGGGCTGGGCAGTGGACCCCCCCTTCCACAGGATAGTAAATTCTGCTGTTTAAGACAAGATGATAAGAAGCACTTGCTTCACACTCCTCCCATTATCTAATCTGTCCCCTTCTCTTCCTTTGGAGAGGAGTAACACCCTGAATTCAAAGCCCTCCCACACACCTTCCCTGAGTAGGAGGGTGCTGACGTTCCTGGGTTCAGGACAGCAGGGACATTCCTCCACAATTACTTAGCTTGTGTTGAAAACTAAAATGCAGCCGAATTGGCCATTGGCCCTTGCTAGTGAATAAGGAGGTTTCTGTTTTAAGAAATAAAGTGACTCCTTGGCTGTTGATTCACTGCCTACAGGGAGATTTCTGATCTGAGTCTTCCTAGCCTCGTAGAAATTTGCATACAGCTTCCACTTCCTGCTTCGGAGCCAGTTCAACTGCTTACCTGGGCCTGGAGAGGGAGGAGGGAGGCCGGGCACGACCCAAGGCGGAGTGACGGAGAAGTAGGGAGAGGACCACCCAGTTGGCCCCTTCTGTCTGTCCGTGTTGGTTTTAAGGTACGTTATTCAGAGTTATTGCCTCCCATGCCTTACTTTGTTAACCACCAATCCATTTTCCAGAACTTTCTGCTTTCTCCTTTCCTGAGATGGTCTGTGTCTTTTCCTCCCCCTTACTCTTTTCCCCTTGTATTTGTTTACCAGCGACCAGCATGGGCTGGGAAAGTGACAGTTATGTTTTTTGCTGGGAGAAAGTGTTCGTGCCGTGCCGGGGTTTAGTATTTCAGACAGTTAAACCATATTAACTCTTTGAGGACTGGAGATACGTGTCACGGTACCCTTCGGAGCTGCCTGAGAAACCATTTGTGTGAGTGCTTAGGAGTGTGCCAAGGAATTGCGATTAAGAATAAAGTCCCATTTCCCCAAGGAGAGTCTTGGATGGCAAAGATGAAGTAATTCACTTCCGGCCTCAGGACAATCAGTGGCAGAGATGGAAGGAGAACTCCCAAGTTTTCTGATCCCTGTTTCCTGCATGGGAAAAAAATCAGCAGCACATTCTTAGGCCAGGAAGTTCAACTGAGCTCTGTGCTGGCAGTGGGCTGTGCTCAGTCCCTCCCGACAGAGGCTCACCCCTCCTGAGCAACCCAGACTTCTCCTGGCACTGAACCGAGCCTGAGGGAAAACTAGAGAAGAAATTCACTTGATCTTAGAAGCTCGTGAAGCTTCATGAGACTTTCAAATTCAAGGCAGTCTCATAGAGTAGGAGGATTAATTTTTTTAAATAAAGGAGTGGGGTGCGGGAGAAGAAACCACATAAATCATTAAAAAAAGAGGACAAGAAACTTGGCTTCGAGTTCTCACTCTGCTCCTTACTGGTCCGTGACTTAGGCAATTCTTGTCAGCTTCCCTGAGCCTGGATTTCTTCATCAATAAAATGTGTGTGGGGTGAGGCGGGGGTGGTGAGCTAACATGGTTTTGTCCAAAATCACTTCTAACAAAATTAAGCTAAAGTCATAGGAGTCCCAGAAGGGTAAGTCTTCATGGGTGGTCTTGGAAGATTTGTTTTGTTTACTGAATATTCAAATATATTAATTTTACCTCCTGCTGCTAGATGATTAGTTCCTCCAGGAAAAAACTTGCTTTCTTAATACTTTCCTACCTCCTAAGCCCCACTCTATTATCAACAGTCCTGTTGCTCTGGCTTCTCCATAGAAGCACTCAGCTTGGTTTTACACAGAAGGGAAAGCAGCAGGCTGAGTAAAGGGCTGGGGTGAGGCAGGCAGCTTCGAGGCTCTACATGACAGCTGCCTGGATGTTGGGCTTTTTTGGTTCTAGCTAAATAGGAGAAAAAAGGGGATTTCTTGAATTAGTTGTCCCATTTGGGTTTCCCAGGAAGAACCATCCTATCCACTTGGTCAGAGGCAAAGCAGGCCCTGGAACTGGTAGACAAGCCTGGCTCCAGAGAGCTGCCTTACAGACTTGGCCAGAGCTGGAACCACTCCTCAGCTAGACCAATCACTGTGTGTGTGGCCTTTAATGGGAGGCGAAAGCAAGCTGAGGAGCACATCCTGATACCATGTAAGGGTGATGATTGCAATCAGACACATTATTAGACTAGACACACAGAATCCTTAACCTTTTCCTAACCATTACTTTTTGAATTATTGTCACGGTTACTACATCTTTGGGGCAATACAGTTCACATAGATCCTGGATGACAAGGATGAGTTGACACGGATTTTCAGTGCTGCTAAACCGCTTCTGTGAATATCAGGGCCTGGTACAGTCCTTGTCTCCCCCTCTCACTGGATTGAGAGGACAGGAACTCTCATCCCAGGTGAGAGTTACAGCTTTTATTTTTGAATAATGATGCACCACTATCTGCAATCAGGCTGGCAGTTGTTGGATTCCAATCTCACTTTGATCCAGAAGGACTGCCCATAGTCATTTTGAACCTGGTGCTGCTACTCTAAGTCATTCCATGATGGAGCCTCACCAGGTAGGCAGTGAGGTGACCCTGCTAAGTTGGAATCAAGTCTCAGGTGAACCGAGTGTTGGGGGGAAGGGTCTTACCACAGGGATACTTTCCTTTTGGAGGGTGCAAGGACAGGAGATATTTAAGCCTATTTCTCTCTGGATTAAAGAGTTAGTAACTTTTAAATGCTCCGAAAATTGGAAGAGGAAATTGCAGTCATAGTTGAAGACATTCTCTAACAGGACAGATTGTGTGTGTGATTTGTCTGAATTAAACCTATGTTTTACAATATCACAGAATCAGAATCTCAGAAATATCCTGAATTCAACTTATTTTTCTGTTGCAGACAATATTACATTAACTATTAAAAACATACATGAATTGTAAGCAATTACTACAGGGGGGGGGAACAGGAGCCCAGATGAGATACATTAAACTTAAAATTCTTTTCAGATCCAACAAGATGACACTTGGTGTCTCAGGATCCCATTTCTTTATCAAAACAATCCTTCAGTCTGTTTGTGAGAAAGCATGTGAACCTCTGAAGAGAGTCGCTCTCCCCCGGGCCTCTCCCATTTCTTCCCAGTGCCTTGTCACCAAGATATTTTTAGTTCATGAAACCCAGGCTGTCTGTCCTGTCTCCCTCCAACATTTGTGCATCTACTTCCCAGCAGACCTACTACAAGCCCACATGTGCTTGAGTGCCTAAGTCTCAATTCGCTGTGTGTGTGTCCACATGTCCACTGACCTTCTTGGAGACCGGAAGTTGTAAATTGGCCGATGGAGGAGGGTGGGCTTGCATCCACCTCCTCACTCTTAGAGCTGTGCCAGTTTGGCTGGGTTCCTGAGAAGGCAGCAGACCAGGCTCTTTGGGAGTGATGCGACTGATGGGAGCCCACAGCCCCTGGCCCATGTGTCTGTTCCTTCTACCCATAGGCCCAGGCTATCTGGGGACGTGGCAACTCCCTCAGCAATGTGGGCAAGTTTACTTCTCAGCTTTAGTGTTTCCTTGCACTTGGGATTCCAGTGTTTTTCCTTCTTAACCTTCCAGGTTTAATGGGATTCTTATTTTCTGAATTCCTTACTCCTTCTGTTGCTGGCCCAGATTCTTCATGGCTTACCAATTTACCCTGTAGCACTCTTCCTTCAACCTATATTCATTCTTTCCCTTTCTTCCCCATGAACACAAATTTCACAATTGAAATAAGTCATTCGCCTGCACCAATATGTTTGTGCATGCAGAACTGGGGTACAGGCCAGAGGTGCAGGGGTGGTGCGAGGATTCACCAGAGACAGAGTGGGGAGCAGAACAGGCCAACTGACAAAGTACACTGCTGAGGGGAGCAGTGGGCAGGTCAGGAGAGGTCTGCCACGCCATGTGGGTCACCTCTGGGGCAGGCAGGGATCGTACTCATGTGGAAGTGGCTTTAGCTTTTTAGTGCTGTGTTTTAACCCGCTGCACCACCAGGGAGGCATAGCATATTTTTAAAATGTCCTTTAAGGTTTCCCCATTTCCTTTGTCCTTTCACCTTTCCAACCCTTCTTCCCCTCCTGACTTTAACTTCTATCCCTTCCTCTCCTTTACTCTGGAGCCTGGACTGAATAAGAATCACAAGTGTGTGCTCAGAGAAACCTTATCTGAAACAACACACAAGAAAACAACCAATTGACCTGTGAGCTGGGTTGAGGCTATTCCGCAAATGTTTATTACTGGCTTCCAAGGTGGCAGAGTCAGTCCATTCAGTCAGCCAGCCCATTCCCATTAGTCCATTAGGCTCCTTGTTTAGTAACTCAGAGGAGTTACAGAGTGACCTTCTTCAAGTCAGGTCAGGTCACGCTGCACCGTCTTTAGCCTGATGTGAGTCTTGCTGTGCAGGGTGTAAACAAGGGCCCGTAAAGGTTCCCTTGACTCCAGGGCTCACCACGGCTTCAGATCCTCTGCAAACTAAATGGAAGCACTTCTTTGTCTGGGAAATTCTGCAAGTAAACTTGGAAGTATTTATTTACAGGCATTGAACCAAAGCTAGAGAGTTCACCCTTTCTACTAAGCAAACCTATGTTGTGTTTGCATGCATTTAAGCAGTAAACAAGCATTGTTAGTTTAAAGATTCTTTTAAATTCATGACTTTCAGACACTTAAAAAAATTACCTCCTGGGAATGAAGATCTTGAGAATCTGTAATTGAAAGATATCAGATCCCAGTTAGATTTATAGATCTTCCTACCTATGAATTTATGTATTTATCTGTCTACCTGAAATATTCATGCCTTATGTCTCTTGAACTCTTTGACCCTATTGTTGACCCATACAATGCTTTCAAAAGTGCAAGTAGCTGGTGAACAGCAAACCTGGATTGTTTAGGAGCTGGTAATATGGTTTATTAATTACTCAGGCTGCTCACTCCTGTCCTTTCTCTGTTTCTTGCTGTGCTATTTGTCTTCCTTCAGGGACATAACACCTTCATTAAATCCCATCCGTCCTTGCCTCTGAGGCGGGATCCCTTCTCTAGATGCATCACCATTTATCATCACCCTTTGTTTGTGCTCTGTCAACCAGTTTTCAATTTATTTTGAATTCAGTTTATGATTAAAATTTAATGAGATCCAATCAAGTGCTTTTCTCAAATCAAGATGCCTCTGCAGCCTTATCCGTACCCTCTATTGTAAGGCATGAAGGAAATCCACTGCGATTTCCAGGCTGGCAATTCTTTATAAAATGCAGGTGCGTGCATCCAGGTCGCCTCAGCTTCAAGGTGAATGACTCTGAAACATTGATTTCAGAAACTTTGAGGGATTACTCAGCTCCTTCCATTTCCGTTTCTCCTCCCCTCCCCCCAACTAGCTCTACAAGTCCCTGAGATACTAATGGTTTACTGCACAGATCCGTGTGCTGAATTGCTTGGGGTTGAAGCCCAGCTGCGCTACTTACTGGCCTCTGACCTTTTTCAAGAAAGTTAGTTTGAATTTCCCCATCTGTGAAATGGAACTGATAGTAGTGCCTATCAAATAGAGTGGCTGTGAGAATGAAACATATAAAATACTTAGAATAGTATTTGACACAGTAGCCATTTGATAAATATCAACAA